AGAATTTTAAGGTACATCTGCCCGCGCCCGCAGATCCTCAGAGTCCCCCTCTATCCCCCCTTGTTGATTCTTCTCTTATTTCTATAGACACTGATGTATAGAACAGTTAGAACTTCGTAGAAGCTTGTGACTTACGGTGTTCCGGGTCTTGGGAGTGTCATGTATATTTCGAGAGTTGATTATTGTATATGCCGAGCGGCATCTCAATTGCTTATTAAAATATCTATTACTGTTTGTTAATTTTCATGTTTTTCATTTCATTTCCGAAGTATTAGGCTTACCTAGTCGTAGAGACTAGGTACCGTCACGACGATTCACGGAGAATTTGGGTCGTGACAATACCCCTTAGTGAAATTACTCGCTCCGCCACTAATATTAGGTATAAACTAATACATGAAGTGTTGTATTAAATTATAACAGGATTTCAAAAAATACAAGCCAAACACTGGAAAAAGCAATCCCAAATTTTACACCCTATCCTCCACCTTTACAAAATACCATATGTCAGCTAGCTTTATACAGAACTAGACACTGACAAAATCTGTGAATTCCAAAGTAAACCATTTCTCAAAATACTTAAAAAACAATAATGAATTAATTTAATCTTAAGTTCATCCAGTTCCATGGAAAAAAGAAATTTCAGTGACAAAGATTAGAAAATAGTAATAATAAACAGGAAAAAGGAAAGACCTTTGAAGATTATCGGAGGGTTTAAGGTTGAAACCAGCAGGGGGATTAACTTGCCACTCCACTAACTCTTTTTGGAGTCGATTGCATGCTATCTTGCTTAATGGCTGATAATTGAATTAATTAGTATAAATATCAAAATTACATGAAATAGAGAGAAATTATGAAAGAGAAAGAGAAGGAGAAGGAGAAGAACCTTGGGAGAGGAGTGGGAGGCGCTGGTCATGGCTTGCCGCGTTATGTCCATGAAACGAAAGAGAGGAATATGAATAGCTTGATTTTCAAGGTTCAAGAGTTGCTTTTGTAGTGTATTGTGTCTTTCAATTTGAATGTATTTTAAATTTTAAATATATTATAATATTTATTTAGTTATAAAGCATTTGGATTTTATAACCTTTAATATATCATATGTTAACTTTTAGCCCAAACTGTCCCTTATGTTTGGGATTAAGTTTAACTTTATTCTTTATCTATTGCCCTGAGCACTTATTGTCCTTTAAGTTTGCTAAATTTGAGCAGGTTTAGTTCACTTAAGAGTTTTTAGCCAAAATTGTCCCTTATGTTTGGGGGCAAGTCTAACTTTGTCCTTTATCTATTGTCATGAGCACTTATTGTACTTTAAGTTTGCTAAACTTGAGGAGGTTTAATCCACTTAGCAAAAGACTCAAACTGGTGGGTAAAAAAACTTTCAGTACTTAAATTTTGCAGAACCGATGTAGTGAACCTAAATCTGTTTAACGGGTCGGGTTGACCCGGTTTCGGACCGGCCGGTGGAAGGGGGCTGATAATTGAACTTAATATTTTATTCTTTCTTTATACGAAAAAAAAAAAAGCATGTTAGATGGAGTAATTATTATAATTAAATGAATTTACTCCTTTTTATTACAAAATTGGAGGAAAAGAAATCTCTCTTTTGTCACATTTTATGTAAGAGTAAGTTTAAACATGTTTGATTGAGATTGAGTTTAAAGAAAAAACATGTCCCCTTTCTGGTTTTTTCTTTAAAAACAAATTGCTCGTATGTTGTAAAGTGCTTTTCTTTAATGTTTAATTAATTTTTAAATTCTTTAATGTTTAAAATATTCAAAAGCAGTTGTACTAAAGTAAGTTGTGCCGCCACCGCCAGCTCCTTTGACGCAGCAGCAAATGTTTTTTTAATCCAAATGAATACAAACTTAAATAATTCCAATTAGGGGTTTACATATTAAACCGACAAATCGCACAAATCCGATAATTCGAGTCAAACTGAGAAAAAAAACTGATTATGGTTTGATTTGATTTGGTTTGGTATTGGAAAAAAAAAACCCGATCATATTTGGTTTGGTTTGGTTTTAACTAAAAAAAATAAACCGAAATCAAACCAACCCGACATGATATGTATAAAAGTTTTAAATATATTTAATACATAAAAACATTTATGGTAGTGTAGTTTATAAACATTTATTAAGTTTTTTCATAATTTTATCTTTTAACGTATTATTTCAAGCTTGGACTTATATTTTTTTGGATGTTCCAATAAGTTTTATAGTCCATAAATGTTAGTAACTCAAATAAATCCGAAACCAAAATCAAATCAATATTAATGCTAATAAAATATACTCAATTCAATTGTACTATGAATGAAAATAGTGTTGGATATCTATTTTTTAGTTTTTCATGATTTAGATAAAATGTATAACTTATTTTTCTTTTAGTGGTTAGTCATGTAAATAATAGTACTTATTAGTCATAATTTTAAATTATGTTTGTTTTCATTATGGCTTATTAATAATATTTATTTTATGCGATTTTATTATCTTTATTGTTGAATATTTTAGTACAATGCCATGACTCATCTCATATTTATGTTATTTTATTGAAAAAATACCTTATATAGTTCTGTCGTACTAGGATTAAAGAAATATTTGGAGAACAAATTTTATGTTTTGTGCTATGAAAATTTTATGGAAAAAAAAACCGAAAAAACTCGAAAATTCGAAAAACTCGAAAAAAAATCGAGATTAAAAAATCCGACTTTTATGTGGCCACACCAACCCTTTCGTTCTTATCGCTCCGGATTCCGATCTATATGACCTCCGGGCGGTACAAAGTAAACCTCTTCCGTAGAAGCGGGTTATTGGTTTGATTTAGTATTTAAATTTAATAACCCGATACAATTAATTTGATTTGGTAATTAAAAAATCCGAACCAATCCGACTCAAGCACACCCCTAATTCCAACTATAACATAGATGTCATAGACACCAAACCTAGCCAATAGGCAATGAATGAAGAAATCCCAACCAAATATTTTTCATTTACACACCCCTCTGCCCAACTTTGTTTTGCTAGTAAATTCGATCTTCTCTAGAAAGATCATCTTGTTGCAAATTCAAGATATTAGTAGTAATTTGTTCATTTACATGCAGTGGCGAATTCATAACATGGAGTCAATGGATTCTGCTCTTTATTTATTATGTCAATTAATTTCATAATCACATATGATATATGTAGTTTAAGACGGTATTTTAAAAGGTGTGGGCGTAAGTCGAAATGTTTTATATATGCCTCAAAGAGGCGTAAACCCCAAGGTACGGGGACAGATATTTAATTTTTAATATTTCATAAAAGAATATAATTACAGTAAATATTCTTAAATAGGTAAAATTGCATAAGAATTGCAGAAAATTATAAATAAGTAAAAATTATATATAGATGTGCTTCATCCCCAAAAAAAATAATAAAAACAATCCATTATACGCTTTTTACAAGTACAAGTAACTTGAGTTGAAAAAAATAAAATTTTCAACATGAAAAAACAAAAAGGATGACTAGCCTTCAATTTGAATTTTGAACTTGCTACTACGGAGGAGAATTGAGTTTTTTTGTATTTGCAAAAGAAAATTGACTTTTTAGGAGATAGTAGCAAACTAGCTGACAAGATAAAAATTTGGGAAAGAAATTTTGAGTAACTAGAAGCTGACTTTTGAGAGTTTGAGTATTATATTAAGGATTTACTCAGCAAATTTTATTTTAATTTGAAAAAGTCCCTTGGGCTTACGCCTCACTAGAAAAAACGTGCCTCAACGTCCGGACGTACGCACCGAATTGTTAGACGTACGCCTCTTGAGACTTTCGCCCCCACCATCGCCTCGGGCCATTTTCGGTACGCTTCGCCCCAGAGCTCGCCCCGAAAACATCTTTTAAAATACTGATTCAAGATAAAAATAGTAACTTTTTGTTGAACTAGCCCGTCTAGTCTAAAACCGTCACTCCTAGATATTCTTTTTATAAAGACCATTAATAGGAAAGGATGGTGTTGTTTGGCTGGGTACGTCATCAAGAGTGCTCAAAATTTAGGGCATCATCTTAACGTTCGGCTTTAGGCCACCAATTTCGTTGAGCCGCTCCTGTCTAGTATCAACTCAATTAAGGCACGAAAAGAACAGAAGTGAATGAAAGTAATGTACTGTTGGCTAGCTCAAATGGAAGGAAAGGAATCTGATTACCTGCAGATACTAAGATAAAAAAATTCAATTTTCAAATGATAGATTCTGCGAGTCTCTGTTCTTTTCTTTTTAGAACTGTGCCTCCCTTAGAAAAAAAAAAGAAGACATGTATCTTGAAACTAATCACTGTTTCACTTTGTTTGATACTATTTACTTATTAGATTGTTTTAAAAAGAATGATACACTTTCATATCTCCTTAATAAGAAGCTTACCACACAAACACAATGATATATTTATGATCACAAATTTTAAAAGTTTAATAGTCATACAAATGTTATAGCCACAAGTTTCAAAAGTCTTCTTTTATTTATTAAATTTCGTGTCAAATCAGACTATGTAAAATAGAGTGAAAAAGAGAGTATGTAAACAATAAAAAATTGGATACATAATTATGAAGCTTAAAATTGGAAATGCAACAATAGAACACATGAGAAAGCATGAGAATTGCAAGGGACTGAAGGATTCCTCCACGGGAGTACTTATTGTTGCACCAATAAGTACTTTAGAAGATTGTAATAAAAGTATTTACAATATTGAAATTTGGTTGTACAATACAAATAATCAGACAGAAACTTTAGTTGTCTTACTTTCACCATTGATGAATTATGGCAAACGTTTTCCCCCTCGAGATCTTTGTTTGCACAACAATATGTACTCATAGGAATGAGATTTACCTTGCAAAATTAACTGGATAAAACTACAACCTTGACTTCTTAAACAAAATCATTCCTTAGCAGCATAACCAATAATCCCTATGTCATTGGCTGATTTATTGGTTAGAAGGGCACAATGAACAGGATGCAAGAAATTGATTTTTGACAAAGAGAAACAAGCCAAATATCATACTTTATAACAAGAACTTGATAAATCCAAAGCCCATTACAACAACATAACCAATATAATCTGACATAGTAGGGTTTGGGGAGGATAGTATGTATGCAAATTTTACCAATTAGATCAGTTCTTGCTGATACACACAGATAAAACTGTCACAAGATATGTATATTAGGATGTACTATGCACGCGTACGTATACGTCTGTGTAGAAATAAAGCATATTAGACTGATGCACTACCAATGTGCTTGGCAATTGCCTGCTGCAGCTCCTCTTTTTTAGCTCCTACAACCTTATCGACGATATCACCCTCCTTGAGGAACATGAAAGTTGGCATTGCCTCCACAGCCCAATCAGTAGCAACCGACTGTAACAAGGAAATAAGACATAAACACAAGTTGTCACTCATCTCAATTGAATATCGTAATTCCTATAGGAATCATTAATAGGTTAAGCAACCCAAGCTTCTAACTATACTGTGACGTTAAATTTACCTTCAATTCATCCACATCCACCTTCAAGAAGGTAACATTGGGTAGTTTGTTGGCCAATTCTGACAAGAATGGGGCAATGAACCGACAGGGACCACACCAAGAAGCAGTGAAGTCCACGACTATCTGCGACAACAGTAATCTGAATAAATGAAGTGAAGAGACCGAAGGAAATAGCTAGAAAAGGACTATACATACTATCAGCTCTTAATTTGCATTCAAAATGGTAAATATCTTTATCACAATATACACGTCTATCTTCCTAATTTAGTAAAACTAATAGTGAAACAAACAAACAACAAACAACGATCTCAAGAATAATTGATGCTTTATGCTCATATCCATTAATTTGCTAGCGTCTATAACCAAGTGAGGGGTAGCCCTGCAGCCTCAAGGCAGCCTTTCCACTGATGTGGTATAGACGCTAGCAGCAATAAATCTGCAATTCATTCACTTGGTCCTCCATACTTTCAGAGTTTTTAAAATATATACATATAGAAACAGACAAATGAGATTCTCACGAACAACATAGTTTTTTTCCCTTTTTAATATCACCATGCCAAGAGGTTGTGAGTGGTAAGCACCCTCCACTTCCAACCAAGAGGTTGTAAGTTCGAGTCACCCCAAGAGCAAGGTGGGGAGTTCTTGGAGGGAAAGAGCTGAGGGTCTATCGGAAAAAGCCTCTCTACCCCAGGGTAGGGGTAAGATATGCGTACACACTACCCTCCCCAGACCCCACTAGTGGGATTATACTGGGTTGTTGTTGTTGTTGTTGTTCTTCTCCAGGTTTTTGCGGGTAATAACAATCTAGAGGATTTTTAGTCTTAGTCTTACCAGTAGATCTACAACTTGAAGACATTGTTTGTACCCTTCCCCGCTTTTGTAATTTTAATGGAAGCGACAAATCATCGTCACCTTCTTCTATTTCATCATCGTCATCATGCGGCAGAACATTAGGAGCATTTGAGTCTTTAACATTTTTTTTTTGCAAGTATGCTTTCATTTCTTCCTTCGCATGCGGCGGAACATTAGGATAAGATGCAACGTTTGAGTCACCACCGATGAGATGAAATTTTTGACGATAAATTCCCTCATTAGAAATCTTGTTACAGAAAAGACATCTAATTGCATGTTTGTTGGTCTCGCTAGCTTTTTCAGAATAAGCCTAAGCAGGATCTTTCTTATCCTTCTTTTTTGGTGCCATTTAAAATCTATTAAGAGCAAATGAACATCCAAAATTAGCTAATTATGAATAAAAAATTTGGCAACAAGCAGCATTTCGCTGCAATTTTAAGCACGGAAACGAAAAGAAGAAGGGGAAAGAAGAAATCATACCTGACCCTTTGAACTTGAAGAACCTTGAAGAGTGCTGAAAACCCTAGTCGTTATGTCGCAACTCTGCTGCTCTGCTGATTTTGTGATAAAAGAACTGTTTTTTTCCCCTCAAGTTGATTAAACACAAAAGTGAGCGCTTCTGTCGCTTCTCGCTTTTTTGGCAGAAGCGCTCACATCCAACTGCGTAATACGCTTCACATAATTGAAGCGCTACACTTGACGCCTCACTTCGTTTCGCGCTTAAAGCACTGAAGCGAGCGTTTTTCACAACATTGTTTCAAGGTAATTGAATTAAGTATTTTTTCAAGGCAATTGAATTAATCAATGTCATAATGGTTTCACATCTCTAATACTATCCCATCGTGTCTTATTGTAGCATAAATTTCATTTCATCTCTTATTGTAAATTTATTTTTCGAGACTATTCTCTCTTCTTTTTCCTAAGACTACACCACCCCCATCAAGAGCCAAGCTTCCCGCGTCCAAACCCCAGTGAAGTTCTCCGGCAACCGAGCCCTCACGCGCCCTCACGCGCGGCCATCTCGCATGCTTTCCGGTGAGATCTCAGCCACGCACCGGCGCGTGTGGCTTTTTCCGGCGACTTTTCAAACTTTTTTCTTCAGACAACCTCTTCTCGAGGCTTTTTCGAGCCATCCCGTTTCAGTTTCACCAAAATCCGACAACTTTTTCTTTTTTTGGCCATTAAACACCAGATTCCGGCGACTGCTTCCTTTATTTCATCTAATGTGATCTTCTTTAACACATCCGTTATTATGGGTAGCGACAGGATTTATTATAATGCAGGTTTTAAATCCTTTGACATCACAAAAAATTGTTCTAGGTCTGAAGTATGGTTCGAACGGGTTGAACGTAGCAGGAAACTGATGAGGACAGCAACTGTTAGTCTCAAAGTTATGAAATGGGTGACAGAAGTATTTAATGCGGTGTCAAAGGAACACAACAGGGCAATAAGGAGATGGAATATGAAAGACCACTATGCAGAATTTTATTGCAATCTTAAATACAATGAATATGGTAGGTACATCAGTTTCATTGTCGTACAAGGGGAGAACAAGTCTGTCATTATTACACCGGAAATCTCACTAAATGCAGGGTGGGGAGACATAGCTCAAAAAATACAAAGGCTCATAAATGTCCCAGAAAAAGAAAGGAATATTCAGATTGTGAGAAACCCCCAGCTAGAGTCATCCTATACTGAAGCAGTCAGAACTAACAGATAGTCATCAAAAGGAACGAAATCATCCCCAATCAAATTCAACAGGTCCAAAGTTATAATCCCTGGAGGCTCTGAATTATCGGACAAAGATGTGTTGCGTAGGTGCATAGTAGAAAAAGTTATGACTTCTATGAAGGAGACTCCAACTCTGAACTATATTATGACTTCTATTAAGGAGACGCCAACTCTGAACGATATCGGGAGATGGGCTTGCAACACATGGAAATCCACCATTAGTGTCAACGTGCATGAGATAAATGATTCTCAATTTTTGTTTGAACTTCCTTCAAGGAAGGATGCAGAACATGTTCTTATGGGAGAATGGCGTTGGAAGAAGTCCAAAGTAATCCTTGATTGGTGGAAACCTACTACTAGGTGCTGGTCAGGAGAGATGGAGCGTGATTGGGTTTGGATTAGGCTTTAGGCTTTAGGGACTTCCTGTTAATCTATGGTCTGAGAAAGTGTTCAAAGCAATAGGTAACTAATGTGGGGGATGGATCGAAACGGAGGAGGAGACAACACTCAAAAATCATCTACGATGGGCAAGAATTAAAGTGAAGGGAGATGGAAGCAAGGTACCAAGAGATATACAGGTGGAAGGCGATGGGTTTTTGTACAAAATTCCCATCTGGTGCGAAGTTCCGGCGACGGTGATGGCGGTCTTGCGGGATGACGATGAAGGAAGGCAAGGTCAGATGGCTAATAGGGGAAATCTTCTGGGAGATGGGACTTATTCGGCACAAAAGTCCTCTAGTCACGTGGGTACATCGAAGGAAGGGGAGAAGTTTAAAAAAATTGGCACGTGTGCCAGAGTCACGTGAGGTCATCACTGTTTCTTTTAATGAAGTTTTGGGCCACAAACAATTAATTAGTTTCGGCCCAAAATTGCCAGATCCCTCAGTTGATATTTGTTGCAAAGGCCCAACTCAAATAGCCCAATCTGAGGACCCTCTTTTAAAAGATCATCTGCTAATTGAGATACAGGCTATTGTAACGGACTCTTCAATGGAAAATCACGTTAATAAACTAACGCTGGCAACAGAGGTCGACCGTCTTGAGGGAACTAACAAGGAGAACCATCTGATCCAAGCTGACAAAGAAAAGGCCATGGTGATAATCACATAAAAGGAACACCTATCGACAGAGAACCAGGAAATTGACAACATGCAGATTGGGGAGGGGAGTACAATTGGGGATTGCGCCAAAGAGAAGCTCTACCTCTAAATTCACTAGCCAATGAAGAATAGAAGGATCCAGATTTTGATACACCAATTTGGGTGCATCAAAATATCATCAGATTAAGCAAAGAGTTTGGGGTGAAATTTCAAGGGTGTGAGAAAGAAGCACTTCAGTTATTTATGAAGATTGATGGTAAGAGGCGAGCTTCAATGGAGCCATCAATGACGACAATGTAGGCAGTCACCCCAAAAAAGAAAGAAAGCAAAGAAGTGAGAAACTTAGATATTGGGAGCAAGTTCAAAAGCAATGGTACTAGAAGCAGGGAGAATATCTTGCCATTGATAGTAAATGATGATCAGAATTATATCCTGGAATGTTAGGAGATTAAATAGATTTGGAAAGAGGGAGTCGATTAAAAATATGATTCATAGTTGGAAGGCAGATGTTTATTGCTTCCATGAGACCAAGATAGAAGGGGAAATCAGGGAATTAGTTAGAGAACTATGGGCATACAGGTGGGTAAAATTTGCTCAGTTAAAAGCAAGTGGAACTAGGGGGTATCCTTATCATGTGGGACGGTAGGGTATGGGAAGGGGAGATTAGTAGCTTGGGTATGTATTCCATCACATGTAAGTTCAGTGGCAAATCATAAGAGTTTGATTGGCACTTATCTAGTGTATATGCTTCTAATGACAGAGTTGAAAGAAAAGAAGTATGGTGGGAGTTAGATGCTGCTAGGGGTTTATTAACTGGGCCTTTGGTAGTGTGTGGGGACTTCAATACTGTTAGGTTTCCATCAGAGAGGAAGAATTGTAATAATTTCACCAGATCAATGGCTGAATTTACAGAATTCATTGAGGATATGGGGTTAGTAGACTTGAAACTGCTAGGAGGGAAGTTTACTTGGAAGAAAAAGGGTAAATCACAATATTGCTGCTAGGTTGGATAGGTTCTTGGTTTCTGAAGAATGGGATGAAGGCTTTAGAAATATTAAGCAGTCAATCATGCACAGAGTCATTTCAGATCACTCACCTCTGATGCTACAATGTGGGAATTGGGAACCAGTGAAATCTTATTTCAAATTCGAGAATTGGTGGCTGCTGACTGAAGGCTTCAAGGACAGAATTAAAAACTGGTGGGATTCTTTCTCTTGTGTTGGTAGATCTGATTATGTTCTTGCTCTCAAACTGAAAGCTTTGAAAGAGAAACTCAAAGAGTGGAGCAAATCAATACAAGGTAACTTGGATATGCAGAAATTGAACATCCTTGGCCAACTTGCTGAACTTGAGGAGATTCAAGAGCTGAGGATCTTGAATGATGAAGAAATACATAAAAAAGCTACCCTACTGTTGGAGTTTGAGGAAACTGCTAGAAAGGAGGAGATAGCATAGAGGCAAAGGTCCAGAGCTATTTGGTTGAAAGAAGGAGATGGAAATACTAAGTTTTTCCATAGAACTGCTAATGCTCATAAAAGGTACAATAACATTGATAAGTTACTAGTTAATGGGGAAACTGTGGAGAATCCTGAAGACATCAAGAAGGAGATAGTCACTTTTTACCAAAACTTATACACAGAGGCTGAGGAGTGGAGACCGCAATGTAATCTATAGGAATGCCCAACCATTAGTCTAGAGGATAACCAGATGTTACTGAGCAGCTCTGAACCATAGGAAATCTAGGAGAGTGTTAAAGCATGTGCAGGGGACAAGGCTCCTGGCCCCGATGGTTATACTATGGCTTTCTACATGCAATGTTGGGAAGTGATTAGTCCATATGTGGTTGCTGCTGTCTAGAATTTTCAAGAAAATGGAGTTTTCGAAAAAAGTTTCAATGCCACCTTCGTGGCTTTGATTCCTAAGAAAGTGCGAGCTAAGGAATTGAAAGACTTTAGACCTATCAGTCTGATAGGTAGTATCTATAAAATAATTTCAAAGATTTTGACAAAGAGACTCAAAAAAGTGATGTGCAAACTGGCGGACACTCAGCAGATGGCTTTTATCAAAGGCAGGCAAATTATGAATGCTATTCTCATTGCTAATGAGTGTGTAGATGCTAGAATGAAAAGCAAAAATCGTGGCATTTTGTGTAAGCTGGACATAGAAAAGACATATGATCATCAGAATTGGGAGTTCTTGCTGGAAATTTTATTGAAGATGAGCTTTGCTGAAAGGTGGATCAGGTGGATCAAATTCTACATTAACACTGTAAAATTCTCCATTTTGATTAATGGTTCACCTGTTGGGTTCTTCTCATCTCAAAGAGGATTGAGACAAGGGGACCCTATTTCACCTTTCTTATTTATTCTTACAATGGAAGGCTTAAACAATTTGTTTAGAACTGCTAAAGCTAATAACAGGATCAGGGGTTTCATGGTGAATTTTAGGGAATCAGATCACCTGAAAATCACACATTTACAATATGCAGATGATACATTGGTGTTTTGTGATGCTGGTAGAGATCAACTACTATTATTGAGATTGGTCTTCATTCTTTTTGAAGCTATATCTGGATTACACATTAACTGGAATAAAAGTTTCATTTATTCAGTTAATGAAGTAATGGAGATACATAGCTTGGTAAGAATCTTTGAAGGTAGAATATGAGTCTTGCCAATAGTTTATACGGGAATGTCACTTTGGGCAAAAAGTAAATCAAAGGGGATTTGGAATAGAGTAGTAAAGAAATGTGAAAAGAAGTTAGTTAGCTGGAAGAGTCAATATTTATCCTTGGGAGGAAGACTAATTCTTATTAACAGTGTTCTTGATGCCATGCCTACTTACATGATGTCCTTATTTCCAATGCATGCAAGTGTAGTGAAAAGACTTGATGTTCTGAGAAAAAACTTTATGTGGCAAGGCAACAATGAAAAGAACAAAATCCATCTGGTCAGGTGGGATATCCTTACAACCAGCAAAAAGGAAGGGGGAATGGGGATCAGGAATTTAAAAATTCAGAACCAAGGCTTGATGATGAAGTGGTTATGGAGGTTTTCTACAACAGAGCAATCTTTGTGGAAGAATGTAATCAAGGCAAGGTATGGGATGGGAGGAAGTTGGACAACTAACTCTATAAATAGTCCTTATGGGGTAAGTTTGTGGAGGTCTATCAGAAAGCTATGGCCAAAGTTCAGTAACAAATCCAATCTCAAAGTTGGAAATTGAATGAAAATATCTTTTTGGGAAGATAAATGGCTTGGGCAAAGAACACTGAAGCAACTTTTTCCGGACATTTACAATATGAACCAACAACAAGGATCATCTGTTGGAGAGATGTGGATAGGCCTAGGGTGGAACCTCACTTATAGAAGACTACTAAACGATTGGGAAATTCAGAGGTTGACAGCTTTCTATAACACACTAGAACAATTCACAGGGACATCAAAAACTGAGGATTGTGTGATCTGGCAAAGGGGTAGAAAAGGCAAGTTCTATGTTAGATCGGCTTACAAGGAGTACAATCACTCTAACAACCAGATTGGTTGTTGGCCTTGGAAGCTGATATGGAAAGTCAAAATCTCATACAAAGTTGCATGTTTTACTTGGCATTTAGCAAGAGAGGCAATTTTGACACAAGATAATCTCATCAAGAGAGGATATCAGTTGGGCTCCAGATGTTATCTATGTGAAGATCATGCGGAGACAGTCAACCATCATTTTTTGCACTGCAGAGTTACTGACCAAGTATGGAAGATATTCATAAACCTGAGGGGGATTCGATGGGTCATGCCTGGGAGAATTCGGGAAGTTCTAGCAAGCTGGAAAAGAGACAGTGAACAATCCAGTCAGAAAGAGAGATGAAAGACTGTCCTTGCTTGTATATGGTGGATAATTTGGAAAGAAAGGAATCAAAGGTGTTTTGAAGACAACCATAGTCCTATACAAAAGTTGAAGATGAGATGTCTAGTGCTCTATTATTTTTGGTGTAAACATGAGTATTTAGAAGAATGTGAATGTATTTTTGATGTTTTAGATTATTTATGAGATTTTACAGAGAACTAGAATCTCTTCTGGTACTCCCTCTAGTAATTATGGATGGTTACACTGGTTTGGTGTAGTCCACATTCTAATTAATACAAATATATTACCTTTTCAAAAAAAAAATTGAGATGAAATAAAATTTATGCTATAATAGGAGATGTTGTGACATAATAGGAAGAGTATTAAAGATGTGAAAACACTAATATTGTCCCTTTAGGGACATCCGATAAAGAAAAATCATTAACATTGATAAATTCAATTGCCTTGAAAAAAGACCTCTTTGATCACTTAATTTAATTGTGTTGAAAAGACACTAAATTTCTTAGACATAGGTAATTTGGGAAAAAATAAATAATTTTTTGGCTTTTTTGTAAATCACTTATTTTGGACCAAATATAAAAAAGCTAAAAAATCATTTTAAATGGACCGGAGGGAGTATATACATTGAAAAGCCTAATTCAATTTTTAATAGTTGAGTAATTGGAAAGATTAAAAAAATGAGAGAAAAGATAAATGTAAGAAGAAACAGGGAGGGCAATTAATAAAATTAATGAAGTAGCTTTTAAATTTTCTTAGTAGAGCACTAAATAGTAGGGAAGTTGATAAAAAGGTAAACAAAAACTAGCAAAAAGATAAATAGCAAACCTAGCGAATGAGATGTGCCACCTCATCTCCTCTTAGACCAACTTTTTATAATATATAGATAGATTCTTTCATGCAAACATGTAATAGCCAACAAATGCTAACAGTTAAACTCAAAGAGGGTACACTCTGAAGCTTTCCTTGCGCAAAATCCACATTAGAATGGAAAAGAAAAATTAGGAACCTTATAAGGTTGAGTCCATGATTCAACTATCGATGCGCCTTTTGGATTAAAACCTAAGGGGACAAAACTGTGAGACTCCAAAAGTTGAGCCAGAGCGGACAATACCTAGGCAATTGAGCTTGGGTCGTTACAAATGATACCAAAGCTAGTACCTCTCCTACTACAGTGGTAGAGCAAATCTCAGGAGGACGCTAAAAAGCCCATGGACCACGATAAGTTAAACTCGAAAGGGAGTTCTCTATGAAGCTTGCACTTCGGCAAATCCAATATCAGAATGAGATGGGAAATTATTTTCAAATATGAAAAGTGATCATTCTTTTTGGCATGGACTAAAAAGAAATAGGTTCACATAAATTGAAACAGAGAGATTAATAGTTAAATTAAAGTGCTTATGCATGCATCCCCAAAAAGTGTAGTTAAAAAAAATCCAACAGCGATACAATTTAGTAAAGTCTAATATTTTGAAGCACAGGGGTTGCTATGATGGTATGCAACCTTCACTTTGACTTCCAACAATTAACTGAGATAAACCCATGTCAGATCCAATCTGTAGCATATGAAATGCACGATAATAGAAAACTAAAGGAACCATTAATTAGCAAAAAGTAAAACAAAACAATAATAAAGAAAAAAGACTCCTAAACATCGGGATTGAATAAGCAAATTACAATTATAAAAGATATAAGGAAAACGGAAAAACATACCAATTTTTTGGTTTCAATTCCTTTCTGAAGCTGCTCGTTCCAAGCATCAACGGTGTGACAACCGATCACTTGTCCCTCCTCTGCCATTTTTTTTTCTCTCTTTTTCCCCCAATGTTTTTATGATTTTTATTTTCTCCTAAATTCGTTGAAAACAGAAAGCTTATGCTCCTACGCCTGTTCTTGTTTTGCGGAGCGATTCTGCCTTTTATATATATATATATATATANGCAATGGGTATTCTTTGTTATATAATTTTATTTATTTGAAATTTGTGGGAGGGTTTCTTCACTATTTTTTTGTCATTCCTCCGTGAAAATTTGAGAATTTGTTTATCAATTTTTTTTATTATTTATGTGATGTGTATTTTTATTTTTTATTTATTTCACTATTTATTCAATTAATATGTAAGTTTTTCTACTCAATGTAACGTGTATTGTGCAATTGTCACATTTCATACACATTGGGTTCATATGATGTACTAATAATAATTAACAATTTTTTTAGATAATTTCTTCAGTATTTATTTTCTTATTTTGATTGTTATCATGGATTCAATTTTCTCGATTAGATTATTGTGTTAAGTCTAGTAAAAAAGAATTTTGTACTCATAATTTGCAAATGAGATAGGCTATTGTGTACGTTGCTATTTCCGGCGGATCCGCCAGTGAATTCCGCTCAAGTAGTAACAAGGCGGAGAGAGAGAGAGAGAGAGAGAGAGAGTTGGGTTTTAAAATCGGAGCGGGTCAATATTTGGACGGGTTAAGGGTGGTTTAGTTATATTTTAGTTGAAGTTTAAGTTAGGCCAATGGAACGGTGACACGTGGATATTAATTAAATATTTTTTTCTTTCCATAATTTTCTGTTAGTAATAAGGGCAATGTTGAGCCAAAAAATAACTGTATAGGCATTTTTATTCAAATAGATGGACAGATGATATTTTTGTACCAATTTTGATATTTTATGGACAGTTTTGGCCCTTTTTCATTTTTTATATAGGAGTAGTGGAATGTCAATTACAAATATATCGTGAAGTTTTTATTAAATTCAATTTCTATCATTTGACCATCATTTTGAAGGTTTCACGTGACCATTATTTGTTAAACTTTTACATTAACAATTATTTATTAATGCTTTAACATTTAGGAAAATCTGTCTATCTATATCTATGTTTATCTACCAATCTAGACTATATTAAAAATACAACGATCATTAGTGAAATATTGTTTGCCTTTTTTGCTTTAAAATTATGATTTCACACTAGACAATATAGTCATTTATTTATTTTCTTAATTTTTAAGACTCGGTAATCAAATAAAATTTGTCTTATTAAATCATTCATGATTTGAGTTTGGTTCATCCACTACTATTGCACATAGGATATTCAATTTATTATATTAATTATTTTCCTTATCAAATTTTACTTCGCCAAGAACTTGGTCCTACTCATTATGAGGTAAACTAGGTTTATATTGGAACAATATTTGAAATTAGGGGCACATCTATATAGTAGATTTGGGGTGTCACGCCACCCGGTCGCTCGGATCTATATGAAGATTGAAGGGGTGTACTTGCTAATTTAAAATTTTATTTTTATTTTATGTTTTTAATCATATTTTTAATGAAATTTGAATGGAGAGAATTAGATCGAATTAGACTAAACTTATTTAATTTGGTGATCATATATATTTTTTATGCACCAAAAATCTTGCCCTAATCCAATCTCCTTCACTAATGATCGAAACAACCGAACCAAACCGAATCAATTCAAAACGGATCAAACCTACTAAATACTTACCCTAATCCAATCTCCTTCACTAATGATAGACAATGGCACTCGTAGTCATCAAATCCTACATTCGCCTCTGTTGAAAACAAATTCTTAAAACTTCTTTGCATATCTAAAAAAACATATAATAATTTTGCAACATAAAAATGTTAGTCTTAAGATACAAAGGCTAAATTGTAATGACCCGATCGGTCGTTTTGAGCTCTAACGCATCGTTTGCGGTTTGAGGCATTGGGTAGCTTCACTTTAAGTATTATGACTTGTACATGTGGTCGGAATTGAATTTCGAGAAGTTCGGAGTTGATTCGGATGGAAAATTCAAATTTCGGAAGCTTTAAGTTGAAAGAGTTGACTATGGTTTGACTTTTGAGTAAACGACCTCGGAATTGGGATTTGAAGGTTCCAATAGGTTTGTATGATGATTTCGGACTTGGGCGTATGTTTGGGTTGAGTATCGGGTCGCTGGGGAGTATTTCGGCGCTTATTATGGAAAGTTGGCATTTTGAAGGTTTTAGAATTTCCTAAATTTGGTTTGAGGTAGACTTTGGTGTTATCGATGCCTGTTTGGGGTTCCGAGTCTTGGAATAGGTTCGTATCGTGATTTATGACTTGTGCGTAAAGTTTGGCATCATTCCGGAATGTTTAAGTATGAATCGGACGTGTTCGTTGAAGTTTGAAAGTTTGAAAGTTTAAAGAAAGATTTTAATCGTCGATTCGTAGTTTTGATGATGTTTAGTGTGATTTGAGGCCTCGATCACATTTGTGTCATGTATTGGAACTTGTTGGTGTGATTGGACGGGGTCCCGGGGGCCTCAGGTGTGTTTCGGAGGGTCTACGTGTCACTTTGCCATGTTGAGATGCTGTTTTCTGAGGTCTGGTGCGCCCTTCTTCGCGTTCGCCAGGAAAGGGTCACGTTCACAGAGGAAAATGGGAGAATGGAGTCTGTGAATCACGTTCGCGGAGGTAGATTCGCGTTCGCGTACATAGGGCTGACTTTGGAACCTTATATCTTGCCATCTATAGGGAATTTGGAGATAATCCAAAAATAAAAGTTGTAGCCTTTAGTGTCTAGTTTTCAGAGAGTTAAACCATTTGTCATTTGGAGTTTTGTACAAAAAGTTATGACCATTATACTATAGATTGTCTGGAGGAGTTGGGCAGCTTGCTCTTAACGATCACGATTGGTTTTCCGTGATCGCGAAAGGGAATTTTAAACTGAGAAAAGTTGTGTTTCGCGATCACAAAGTATTTTCTGCAATTGCGAAGGGTTAATACCTGGGCAGAAGCTATATTTCGGAGCTTTGGCTCATTTTCACCTCATTCCTTCCATGGGAGCCGACTTTAGGACGATTTTGGAGTGCCATTTTCATCATCAAACTTTAGGTAAGTGATTTTTACACCATGTGAGTTACATACATGGTTTATATGTGAATTAAAACATGAATAATTTATGGGAATTGTGGGATTTTAAGAGAAAAACCTATAATTTGATATTTTGAATTTTTACCACGAAATTGGACATGGAATTGGGAATAAATCATATATTTGAGTTCGTAGTGTTATGGGTAAAGTTTATCTTCGAAAATTTTTGGAATCCGGGCACATGGTTCAGAGGGTTGACTTTATTGACTTTTCGAGCAAAGTTGAGAATTGTTATGAATTGATTTATTATGAGTATTAGAGTATATTTGTATTGGTTTGCATATTGTTTGACTAGTTTTGGAGCAACATGTATTAGTTTGAGGTGTTAGAGTGGGGTTGGAGTCGGTTATTGAACTTTGGAGCGAGATAAGTCTTTTTTCTAACTCTGTGAGGGGAAACTACCCCTAGGTGATGTATTTGATGTGCTACTTGTTGCGAGGGTTACCTATGCACGAGGTGACGAGAGTCCGTCTGTATCTAGATTCATGTTATATCCGGGTAGACTTAGGTTCCCCCCATGTTATAACTGTACTATTTGAGCTGTCATTTGCCTATTAAATTCCTTTATTTTACGTTACAACTTGAGACTAGACTTGCGTAGAGTGATAGACTTGCTATTGTAGAGATTTAACGGGCCTCATGATTAGCCGCAGAATAATTACACTCCTCTTACGAATTTCTCATGTGTTATGCGTTTTCCTCGAAATGTTTTCCTTAAATTTTATAACTCACGCGTTTATTCGTGAGTGGGTTAAGGACCCATTAAATCTTCTTATTCTAATGGGATCGGGTCGTTCGCCTCGGCAACATAATAGATACATCTATGATTTGTGTCGTTCGACCCTCGGCAGTGCGCATATTATGATGGGATTGGGTCGTTCGCCTCGGCATGATTATGTATCACACTCTCATGGGAGCGGTTCATTCGCCTCGGCAATATAATGGATGTATCTATGATTCGTGTCATTCGACCCTCAGCAGTGCACATATTATGATGGGATCGGGCCGTACGCATCGGCATTTCTTTAAAATACTCTTATGGAATCGTGCGTAATATTTGACAAAAAGCCATTGTATCTTTGAGTTTTTCCTTATTTGAACTGTGACGACGTATCTGGTGAGGCCCATTATATATATATATATATATATATATATNGAGAGGAGGATTGTACCACGTATTATACTTGTTATTCAATGTATTTACTCTGCCTTATATCTATTTACTTCTACTATATCTGTCTTATTGGGCCACTAGTAAGTGTCGATGTCGACCCCTCGTCACCACTTCTGTGAGGTTAGGCTAGATACTTACTGGGGTACTCGTTGATTTACGTACTCATGCTACACTTGTTGCACTTATTGTGCAGGTATATATATGTTTTTGATGGTCCTCTGGGCGCAGAGGCGCGACATTTGCGAGGACTTTACGGTGAGCCGCATTCCATGTTACGATCCGCGACATACAGAGTTTCCATCAGAGTTATTTATATTCTCTTGTCTAACTTGTATTCCAGACAGATGTTGTATTTTATTATATTTCCTAGTTAATGCTCATGCACTTGTGACACCGAGTTTTGGGGGTTCCTACGAGTTGTTCATTATTGTAGTTCATATAAATATTATCATTTACCCTGTAAATTATATTTTATATTATTTAATAAATGGAAATTATGATTTCAAAGTAATAAAATGAGTAAACAAGTCGAGCAATCACTATTGGTTAGCCTGATGACGGTGTTAGGCGCTATCACGACCTATAATGGATTTTGGGTCGTGACAACTTGGTATCAAAGCGTTAGGTTCACTTGGGTCTCACGAGTCATGGACAAGGCTAGCAGAGTCTTGTGGATCGGTACGAAGACGTCTGTACTTATCTTCGAGAGGCTACGAGGTTGTTAGGAGCATTTCCCTTCTTGATTCATCAACGTGCGATTTGATTCCTTTGAGGCTTATGCTTTTATTTCCCTCATACTCAATCTCGTGC